TATATATATATATTATATATATATATATATAGGTTAGCCCCATAATCTGCTTTCAATTTTAGACCTTTAAATGTCTGAACTAGGTGAAAATCCCAAAAAAGAATATTTGACACTAAGAATATTTTAGAACTTCATCTTAGCTTTGCAATGACACTAAGAATATTTGATTCCAAGTTCAGGAGCTTCAGATATGGCCTGTGCATGACAATATGTCAAAGTGGATAGAAATGACTAAAATTAACTAAAATTTAAAATTGAAACCAAAATAATCCACCAAAACAAATGCAAACCAATTTAAAACACTTATAAATGTCACATAAGCCTAATATAATGTACTTAAATATTTATTAATTATGTGCTATCATGGGCCTAGTCGAGGCATACTGGCTACAAGTGATCTCAATACTAAGTCAAGTCGAGCTATACTAATTATAAGTGATCAACTTGAGTAAAAATACAACATTGGGGACTTAGTCCCTAATTGAGTATCAGAGGAGCATAATATTTGGAGGGTAGTTGTTGGACTAATCTCATAGGAGACTTAATTAGGCTAGCTAATATTGTGATAAGCTCATACTCAAATTGTTCTACCTTGATAGGAATCCTAGACTTCCTAATTTAAGTGGCGACACCTAAGAAACCTTGTTGTAGGGATTGATATCCCATTTGACGGTTGATCTAGTTGGTGTGTGGATTGTTGGTTCGATAAGATCACGTCACTTAGATTACTCACTTGTGTTACTGGAGATTTCCATAGTTGAAATACATAACAATACATTAGTTGATGGTTGAACATATGCTATATTGATTTAGTTGTGTTGTTTATATGCAATATTGGTAATATTGATTGTGTTGTGATGTTGAATTTAGTTGAATATGAAATTATATGATTGTTGCTCATATTTTCTATTGTTGATGTTGAATCTTTGAATTCTAACTTACCCTTACTTGTTTTCATGTGATTTGACTATGATGATCATACTTCATATGAGAGTAAAGCAAATATAGGTTTGAGATGCTGTAAACGAATGATGGAGTTGTTGTTTTTTGGAGGCTTCTCTTAGGTAGCTATTGTGTGAGAGTGCTTAACTGGCACCTAAGGCAACAATTTGGTTATTTAGATTATTGTATAGTTATATACACACATACACAAATATATATATATATATATA